TGTTTTCCCGAATTGACTACTGTCCTTTTATGGAGATTTCAGAATATCTATTCAAGAAAAAAGCGTACTCAGAAATTATCTTGAAACATGATTGTCACCTTCCCCCTTCTCTCAACAATAGACTAATTTCTTTTTAAATCCTCTGCATTTATAGATTTTGTCTTTTTACACCTCTCTCCCCTTCCTGTGCATACTCTTTCTCACCTGTTTCATACCATTCTCACCTACTGTGTCCTTTATTGACTTGTTCAATGTACTTCTTCTATTTTACACTCTCCCTCACACATGAAAAGGCCCAGAAGCTGAAACATAATTTCTCCTTTCTATTTTTCATCATGGAATTAACCTTATTCCTTTGCAGTTGATGCATGCTGACACAGCTCCCCACTCAAATGGCATTTGAGACTTTTTAATAATTTTTTACAACATTCACAGAGTACAAAGAAATGGCAATCCTGATGAACAGAACAGTAAGGAGTTTGGTTTTACTAATGTACGCTGTTGACATTTGTGACAGCTTTTTACTCTTAATCAAATTATGACTGCAAGTAAAAGTTCTGATTTTTAATTATCCATTAATCACTGTTTTAAAACATCTTTCTCTCGTCTTTAGCAGTGTTAACAGTATGTTTTAGTAATGTCTGATCCACTCCTGCAGATAAGAGAAAAGCTTGAGTGAGGTCTTGAGATACAGTACCTGGTGCCATTAATTGAGTCTTCTGAGGCGTACCTGAGGTCTAACTGGATAGTTGTTTTTTGCCCAAAATAAAACAGTTTAACCTCTTACAAAATATCACTTTCGTTCCAGTCTTCATGTGTAGCAGTAAAGATTATTATATCTGTTAAACCTTTGGAAAATAAACTGTTACTCATGATACACAAAAAACTTTAAGAAAAGAAGGAGCTACCAATGCTCTGAGAGAAAAGACTTGCTGAGGGGAAAGAAATTCTCAGGTATAGCTAAGTAATCTTTAAAGTATATGAAGTGGCAGACATTAAAGAAGCCATTATGTATTTGTCATTTAAATTGTCAAGTGTACAAAATTTAAGCGTAAAAGAAAAGGGGTTGGAAAAGGTTATTTGACATGAGGTGGTTATGTGACTGAAATGTGACAACGTGTTCTAGAATTTATGCAAGAATGGGTAAGTTGGAGATGGGGCAAATAAGCTTAATTATAAAGCTCTGTGAAGTAGATACAGAAAGGTGTTGATTAGAATGAAATCCTTTCATATCATACACCCTGCTGGTGATCAAGACACTACTTACTTGGAATCAGATTTAAGGAAGAGTAAAGTCTTTCTGTCTGTGAATGTGGAAGTTTTCATGTCTTTGTTATTGATGATGTATGTCCAAGAAAACTCCAAGTTTAATTTAATTACTTTAATTTACTTTTACTTAGCTCATGATTACCTACATTTTTTAATGCCATTGTGTGAATTGCACCTTCACCTGATGATATACAGATCTACTTGCAAGCAAAACCTGAAATGAAATTGTCTGCTTAAGTATCTAGCAGATACTAAACTTTGGATGCAGATACACAGTGTTTATAGTTTTATTCTACATTATCTGTGAAAATCAAACAGTTCAAGCATTGCTACCAATGTTCTGAGAAAACTCTGGGCTTACAGTATTTAATTATTGAGCCCTGTGCTCAGCATGTTGATAGCATACAGTATAGACTTCAAAATAGTCTTCTTGACTCTTGGTCTTAAGGGAATTTATCACACTTATATTTATGACCTGCTGACAAATTGCACCCATAGCTGCACTCTCAGTTCTCATTAATTGTCCATCCCATCAATGAGACTGTGAACTGTGACTTCTCCTCCTATGCACGTTGTCTGTGAAATACTCTTCTGTGTGAAATTGGGATTGTCAAGCTCTGTTATCAAATGTAATTGTTTAAACTGGCAAACCTAAAGGTTTTCTCATGTATATTGAGGCATTATTGAGTCATGGCAGCACGGTGATGCACTGGTTTGTAGTTTTTGTGCCTTGGTTCAGTTTCTGGGGTGCTGTCTGTGTGGAGTTTCTGTGTAGTCCCTGTGTTCATGTGGGTTTCCTCCTGGTGCTCCGGTTTCATCCCACAGTCCATAGACATTGGTTGGTTAATTGGCTAAAGGGAAAATGGGCCCTGTGATAGTGTGTGTCTGTGCCTGTGTGTGCACAGCAAAGGACTGGCATCCCATCCAGGGTGTATCCTGATTCTGCACAGGTGTTAGCAACCAATCTATAACTGGTTTAAGGCAACTCACATTTTCTTGTTATCATCATCATTCTCCACTGGGAGAAGCCCTGGGTTGGCAATGGCCTAAAACTGCCTTGAATTCTGGGGCCTGAAGAAGAGAGCCCAGCACTATGTGCTGCACTGTACTAATGTTTCACTGGTGTTAAGGCTATCTAAATGTTTCACTTTTGGAACCAATATGGTAACTCTTTATATACTGTAGGTTTAGAAGAAATTGTGGTATTCGGGATAACTTGTTCATGTTGTTGCTGCTGTGCTTTTGTTTCAGGCCTGATGATCTCAGGTTTTTCCCGGGTGGGGGCAGTTCTGGGAGAGAAGGCATTTGTGGAGCGAGCGGAACAATCAGCACAGTTCCTAAAGGACCACCTGTGGAACCCAGTTGACAGGAGGATTCTGCGGTCGTGCTACAAAGGGGAAGGCACAGAGGTAGAGCAGACGTAAGTGAGACACCAGCTTGCTCTGTATTGAGAAACTATTGAACTTAAAGTCTTCCGGATGGGCAAGATTTACCCAGGCTGAAGTGGATGACCGCTGGAGTATTATTCACTTTTATTTAACATTTTCAGTCCTTTGTTATTTTTTTAGAATAACATTCAGTTTACATAGGCACCTTTCAATTGGCAAAATGCCTTTCCTAATTCTGTTGCAAGTTTTCTTTGCAGAAATAGGCTTAGTAGCTCATTGTAGCACAAAACTCAATTAAGTGACTGTTAGGATGGATTTCTAATTTTCGCGAGAGGAATTGACTTAGAAATGAAGTTCAGCATGGAGCATCATTACATTCTTGGAATTCAACTGAGTGCCACTGAATAAAATGGGATTCATTAAAACTAAGTTTAACTTTTAGAAACAAATCAACAAAAGTCAGTGGTTTTGATATACAGTATTTATGGCAGTAAATCTGTTTGAACACACTGTTTTTTCTCATATGTTTGTGTCCACAATTGCTGCAGTTAGTGCTGCTATTAGTAGAATAGGCAACTTATTCTAAAATTTTGCCCTTCTTGTGCTATGTAAAAAAAGAAAGAAAAGGTCTAAGAGAGTGATGTTACTTTGATAAAGTAATTGTGTAGAGCTGTACAATTCTCATATTTCCCTTTTAACACAGAGGTTTGTAGAACTTGGAAGTGGTATAATAAGATGTAACAGAAACTCAATGTTATGATGGAATTGTGCATTCAAATTGGGGAGCTTTTGAGATAAAAAATCCATACATTTTACTTCCCTACAGGTGTTGATCTGATCAACCATTGACAAGATGACAAAATTAATTTCAGCTGCACAGCTTTCAGTTTACTGTTCCCAGACAGTGTGAGGAATGCTAACAAATTCCATTTTTACTCTTTTTGAAATTTCTGATTGGTCTGTTTGAGAAGATTTTTAATTAGCATCGGAGTTTGGTGGCTAGTTCAACCTCACTATTAGTGAGTTGTCATTTATAGTGCCCTCCTGATTTATTCATAATACAATATTCAACACATACCGATATATTTTGGCCAAACACCGGCTTCCCTTTGCAAAGAAGTTCACGCATGGCTGAAATGGATATTCTGGCATGAAACTGATCCAAATTGACAAGGAAATGGTTAACTTTACACAGAATAAATGTTCTTGACTGGCCTTCCCAGTCTCTCGACCTCAGCTGAATTTTTATGGTTTGAACTCAAGAAGGCAGATCACAAACAGAAATCAAAGGTTCGGAAGGGCTGAGACCAATAATGCCAGGAGGAATGGTCACAAATCTCCCCACAAGAGTGTCTGTACTTCAGCACACTACAGGAGGCATGTTTTCAATGTATTCTATGCCAGAGGAGGATTTACAAAATGCTAACTACAGGAATGTGAATAAATGTGACTCTTATGTTTAATACACTTAACTATTTATGACAAATACAACTTTTTTAGCTCTCAGTAAAACTACTAAGATTAAAGCAAAACATTATCCAATCTGTAAATCTTTCGATTATATGATGTCTCTTTCTGTTTGTACAATATTAACATAATCGGGGGTATGACTAAATAAGGAGGGCACTGTGTAACCATGACTGTAATACTTATAGATTCTGAATCTTGCCTGTCATTTCTGAGAAGTGTCTTCATATTGTTAGAGTCTTCAGGTTCATGCCCTTAAGTTAGCATTGCCACAGCCTCAGAGTTGTATATGTTTTTATATATTGGTTTACACTTCCATTATGCAGCTTCTTACATTACTGGCTTTGTAGTAAACATAACTTTGGTACCCTCTTCCTCTTTCTAGCCTTTTTAAAATACAGTACTTCAGCACTTTTTAAATCCTTATACCAAGTAGGATGGCTCTCATTCAGATTCAAAGGAGACGTTTTTAAAAAGCTGAAGCTTTTTGTCAGCACGTTGGGTGGTAATATCAAATTTGAAGTGTCTTTGACTTCGACCCTTCTTGCATAACTTGCAGTATATGCACTGTAATGGACACTGTGTTGGAAAGTGGATTTGTTAGTGGTGCAGTTTAGTTCTGGGATGGGTGACTTCACTCCTCAAGAGTCTGTGTTCATGTGGGTTTTATAGCTATTTAAAATTTAAAATAGGTCACTACAGCCGTGATAGTCAGAAGTGGAGAAAAGACTGTAGATAAATAATATATAATGTCATATTTTGAACTGTACTTTTTGGAAAAGATTCTGCTTATTATGCACCTTCATCTGGTGTGATAAGAGGTCATCACCCTGTTTAACCTCGCAACATCCTTAAGGAATACGGAGAATGCATGAAACATACACCATGACTGAGGGTCTAAAGAGCAAACTGGATGCTGCATTAGCAGCATTAGCATAGACGTCTCTAGGATCTTTAGCCAGCCTGCCCAGAGGAAGGGTGACTCATGTATTGACGGAATGCCCAAACATTTCTGTCTTAATATGGGAATTTTGGTTCCAATTTTGAGTGCCTACAGATTAGTCTACTGTCAAAGTGAATATGCTCAGGCAGGCTGAAAGCCATTCCTTCAACTGGACTGTCTTACATTGTCATTGTATTGCTGCTGCTGGTTGTTGACAGAAGGAATCATGAAGTTTAGGAGAATTCTGAGAGCAGACTGAGGGAATGTATTCTGAGACTCCGCCACCTACCTAGCTTTGGTACGAGGGATTGCGCATTACTTCAATTTCAGCACCCTGCATGCAGTCAGGATTGACATTTCTGGAAATGTTTCCAGAGGTAAACGGGGTCAAATGAAAAAAAAAAAACATTTTTCTAAACTGAATTTTAAGAGGCGGAGAGCCTACAGGTAAATTGCTGATATGTGACACATGGGTTTTGACTCCCTAGCTTATCTAATGTGACATGAGTTTATGGCAGACTGACAGTGGGCCTGAGCTCTCCTGACAGTGCTCATTGGCTGCATCAGTCAGTATCTGAAACAGCATGAGTTGGAACAGAAAAGTTCAGTGAGGAGACGATCAAACAACATGATTGCTGATCAGTGTTTAGAAATGTTTTGCCGGAAAAGCTACAAACACAGGCATGTTTTATATCTTAACTGCTTCAGACTCCTTCCCTGGCCTATGAACCAGTAATATTTTCTAATTTTAATGCTGTTCTTGTCTGTCTGATTTATCAAAATCAAAACAACAGTAACACAAGAACACAAAACCTATACATTTTCTCCACTTCTTAAGACAAGGAAAAACATGATTAAATATAATAGCCTTTACCCCAAAACCTTAACAGCCTTAAATACACAATATAAGGGTTGAGAGTGCTAGAATAGAATTAAACTGTACATAATAATAAAAATAATAACTTGATGTCTTTTGCAATACTTTCAAAGTAAATGTATGTAGCTGAGTCAAAGCAGATGTGGAAATTATATGATACACATTGATTACTGTTTGGACCAGACAGAAGTTCAGTCAGTTTCTTCATTAAACAGCTATTTCTATTAGGGGAGCTTAGTCTGTAAGATGCAAGAAAGCACTGCTTATTAGAACCCTCATTGTCATTTCTACTGTAGGCTGCATTACAGAAATGCCTTGTGTTTCTGGTAATCTAACCTTTCTCTTTTCATCTTGCCTGACATAAATTTAAGCCATATTTTGGGTAAACATTCCTCCAATTTGATTCCATTTTATGGAAACTGTTGGCTAGCTGTTTCTAATTCCTTTGTTTCAGGCAGCAGCAGAATTAAAACAGCCAGAGTGTCAAGAAAGAAATTGAATACACCTCTGAAAACAGTCATAATTAATTTATATTCCCCAAAAGCAGTAGAATATTGCTTTTAGTTTTTTTTATTTTACTGCCAAAACTTGTAATGCCTTTATCCACTTCTGAGGGTCAAAAAAGTACTTGTTCTAGAAGTAAAAATTAGATTCATTTGAAAAAAAGCTTTACTTCTAACTGAAGACTTTCATCTGAGAAGGAATTTCTGGCTCTCAATGTGCTGTTTTTGAAATTGAAATCTATCAGATGTTCTTTTAATTTGCTTTATCCCACTGCTGGAACTCCTTTTTTAAGTTTTAATCATTTGGAGGCAGCAGAATGTTAAAGATTGAAGATGATTAATTTATAAGGAAGTCTACATATTTTTGTGCTGATTTTAGATCTGTACTGCTGGGTTTGTGCCTGCAAGAGAAAGTATTTTCTGCTTTCTGCCTTCAGATGAAATGCACTAATTTCAAATTTATATTCCTCTAATTGTTTACATATTTTTCTAGTTTTAGAAGTAGATGGGGTGGTGGCGCAGTGATAAGCATTGCGAGCTAGGACCCCAGGTTCAATTCCTGGCATATTTTTAGCATGGAGTTTACATGTTCTCCCAATGTTCACATGGGTTTCCTTTGGATGCACCAGTTTCCTCCAAAGACATACTGGTAGGCTAGTTGACTTTTGGGAAAACAGGTTGTGGAATGAGAATGTGTGTGTTTGTGTCTGTGCCCTGTGATCCTGTGATGGACTAGTGTGTCATCCGAGGTATACCTTGCCTGGTGCCTTTTTACTTGCCATGATAGGCTACAACTGCCCTGTGACCCTATATTGGATAAGGCGGGTGAAAAAATTGAAAGGATGGATAATGTGATCTTCTGAAAAAATTAAAAAACATGTAATATACTATAGCCTAAACACCACTACACTGAAAACAGTCATGCTTATCACAAGGCGATAAAATACTAATGTCACATTTATGTACGCCACAGTTTTCCCTAACTGAAACTGCAATATTCTGATTGAGGTCTAACCAATGCATTTCATTGTAAAATTTGACTTTCCTATATTTATGTTCTACATATTAAAACATATCCATGTATTTTGTGACAATTGTATTAGTTCCCCACACTGTCTTGTTGAAAAATATGGCGAGTCTAAACTCTATTTTATTTCTTGATTCCTTTCTGTATTGCCTTGTAATTATGCACATTAAATTTCATTTACAACATATGTGCCAAATCTTCAGTTATATTTGTGT